AACTGCCAAAGGAGTAAGGTAACCAGTTCTCACTGGGCGGATTTGTAAACAAGAATAGATGCATCAGTGTTCGTTTAGTATCCGAGGAGGTTAAAAGCATTAAATTTTGATAATCGACATAATAGTTTCCTATGACCAGAATATTTCATTGATTTTTTTATGTGAAAGATGGCTTTGACATCCGTCTTGTATTAGTGCCCAGAGGTAAGAGGTACCTAGGATCTAAGGTTAAATTTGGACCTAAAACATAGTTTTTAACGGAAAAACTGACTAATTTGACCAAGTAAGAGTGTAAGAGCTTTTGGGAACCATGAATGTATAAAAAAGGATCGAATAAATACCGCACAGTTGTCTCTGAAGTGCCATCCTTTAAGGGTAACCTTGTAGTATTGTATGACCGGAACAGAGAGTTGGCAGCTACATAATACATGAAAGTTTTACAAGTGGAAAAAAACAAGGCAACGTTGAGGAAGAAAAAGTGTAACTAGAAATTAAATCAGATTTCTTTTGAAAATCATGTTTTGTTTAAACACCTGACAATTAATGAAACTTTCCATGACTGTGAACACTGAATGTGAACACGGAAGAAAAATGCCATTTGTGGACATGACTTTCTTGTATGAAGGATGGTGGGAGGGTTGGAGGGGTTTAGGATATAGTCATCTGGGTGAAAGAGGGAAAGAGGGGGGGGGAGTACATATATATGAAGGAGAAACTAAGGGTTTCCCAGGTTTAAATTTTCTTTTTTAGATCATATGGTCAACATGCCCACAGCCTTAGCTAAAATTATCACACAAAACAACTTACGAGGCAGAACATCTTTATGTTTAATTAAAATTAAAATTGAATCTATTAAATATACATTCCTTTTTGGTAAAAGAATGTTTTTAACATTAAGATAAAATCATGTTGACGACAAGGTTGAATAACATTCAGTACTGTTAATTACTGTACATTGTACAAGTACAATGTACATGCAATGTAGGCAATGCTCATGATTACTGCCGTTTAACGGTTTTACATGGGTAAATGGTCCGTAAACAAAGATAATATAATACTCTAGATATCTATAATACATCATCCTTATGCGTAAAGCGTTAATGAAATAGTTCATTAAAGGGAGTGACCGGCAATGTATGGTAGTTGAACTAAGAATGTAGTATTTTGGAGAATTTTTTTGGGATTCACTTGAGACATATAAAACGTTTTAATGATGTTTAATTATTACTGAGTTTGAATCCAAAGTCAACCTTGAAAATCACCCATTCGGGTGGATTCTGAACAAATATGCAACGTAAAAACGTCTCATTTGGGTGGTTTCTGAACAATATTCACCCTAAAAACGTCTCATTTGGGTGGTTTCTGAACAATATGCACCGTAAAAACGTCTCATTGGTCTCAAATTATTCCTTAACAAATTTCCCCACAATTTCAACTACCATACATTACCGGTCACTCCCTTTAACAATGCTTGTTTGGTTCTTTTGTCAGATAAGTATTGAGTTGTTCTAAAAATGTGTTAAATGTTTTAAAAATGATTCATTTTTTGATAGATTTAAATCAATTAAGTTTTACAATTTTAAGTTGTATAATCCAAAACATTTACGAATAATTATATGTTTTCAAATTAACTTTGAAGTATTGTAAACATTCAAATGACAAGTAATCTAAGTGACATTACAAATGGCATTCCTTGTTAGTAAATAATTAGGAAATTATTTCCTCATGAGGATTGCTGTAGAAAAAATGCTGTAATTCATAATTAATAAATCCAATATTTACCTGAACGTGAAAAATGTTTTGGAACTAACTCATGCTTCAAAGAACTATCTTTTGTACACTAGATATATCCTTCTTTTATCACAAAATCTTACTTCACTTTATTTCTTCAACGACAGTAATTATGTCACTTAGTCAGCCTTTATGTTTTGTTAGCAGAATTCTAAGATATCGAGCAATAATCACGATAAAGATGTAATCTTTTTAGTTTCATTTTTACATTGCATTATATTGATGTGGTTTCCACTCTCCATCACTTAAGACGCTGTAGCTCCATGAAACGTTCAGGTCTCCAACCAGCGTAGTGGTTGGGTGTATACTGCACAGGTGCCTCTACCTGCCTCACAGGCACAGTTAGGGGGTAGGGAGAGGAATGGGCGAACTCAACACTAGACTAGAGGATTATAAATCCTATCTAAACAATGCCCAGATTTCTAGTCGTATCTGTCTTCATCAGCCATTAAATATTAATTATACGACATTATATTAAAAGATAAATGAAAAACTAAATTTTATATATTTAACTTTGAGACAAGTAAACCCCCAAATATTACGAACCTTCCTTACATTCCTAAGCTTATAAATACAGATGTATCTTAGGACAATATAACAGGCATAGGGCAGTTTAACATATCAACTTTCAGCTTCACACTTATTCTTTAATTCAACACTCTTGCATTCAATCATTTTATTAACACAAATAAAATGAGTAAAATTAAAGAGCGTCCCTTGAAATTGTGTAGTTGAGGTTACACTAGTTGATTACGATGTACTTTATTGTTATCCACTTATTTAAAATATGCCCCAGATAAAGAATTTATTTAGAATTTATTTACTGACTGAGTTGTGACGTTCATTACAGGTAGATTTAGTTCCAGTAATTATAAGATTAGTTTTATTATTCTATCATAAAGCTTTTGTCTGGAATATCACTTCAACCACTTTATTCAATATCCAGTGGACAATCTTGTATATTATGGTTATTGGTTTAACTCCTTTTAAAATGCAACTAATAATCGTTTTTTAAATTTTTTTCTGTCTCGATTATAAAAAACTAATTTTTAGTCTAAAGTAATACTTATTTAGCCATATTTCCAAGAATCTAACTGAATCAGTTTCTTTTATGCGCCCAATTTTTCGTGTAGTTTCTACTAGTTTAAAGAAAATATCAGGACAGTCGTTTTGTGCATTTGAGAATTTGAAAATACATTTGCATTAGTTTTCTCAAAGTTAAAAGTAAGTTTAATAGACGTGTACCAAAAAGTTATTTTTTCTGCAAAAAGGTATTGTGTCTGCAAGAGTATATTTATTGTGTCTGCAAGAGTATTCAAGTTTTAACATTTTAATGCCACATTTGTGTCGTCGGCAAAGCTACACTAAAATGTTTGTTAGATTGGAAGAAGTCATTTACATATATAATAAACAGTAAACAGCTTAGACTTGATCCTTGAACAAGATCCATAGAGAATAGAAAATATATTAGAGTGGAATTTAAAGAATCTCTCGGTATTTGCATAACATTACGTCCTGGCAAAAAAAACAACTTGATTTGTTTAAAAAAAGTTATTGTTGAGAAATGAAAGCATTCGTTTATGCAGAATTTTTTCCAATATTTTAGAAAATCCGTTGATTAATCCAATTGGACGAAAATTGGATAAGTCGTCTTTTTCATCTTTTTTATAAATAGTAATAGTTCTGAACATTTTCCAACAATTAGGGAATACTCCTGTCTCAAGGTTTAAATTACAAATATAAGATAAAGCAGGGGCTATTTATGTTAATATATTTTTAAGCAATTTTCCTGAAACTCCATTTATATCCTCGAGTCTTTCTAATTCTTCCTTTATTTCTACTGGATCAGTTGAAAAATAAGCAAAAGAAATGTATAAAGGGAGGTGGAAGAAATTCTGAAAAATCTTGATCTTTTTTAGGAATAGCTTCTGCTTTAAATTGGCTAATAGATGAAAAATATTTATTCAACTCATTAGCAATAATAACTTGATATGCGTTAATTTAGTGTTTCTTCTTAATGACATCAATTTTCATTGAACTCTGGTTGGGCTGTAGTTCGTTGTTCAAATATCTTGACACACGGAGGCCTAAAAGAGGGAAGGGGGCAATTACCCCCCCCCCGTCCCCTTTTATAACATTGCTTATCCCCCCTCCACCTTCATAATATTACTCAGCAATCAGCCCCCCTCCCCTGGTTAAGTGAAATCTTGGGGGGTTTCAGAATCCAAAATGTATCTGAGTCCCATCCCCCTGAAAAACAAGTTGTATGTCCCCCTCTGTACAAAATCCTGTATACGCCCCTGTTCTAGAACTAGTTTTGATAAAAGGAATTGAGTCTTTGCCACAAATTCAGTTTTTATAAAACCTATATCTTTGCAACCTTATAATGTAAACCTTTGATTTTTCAAACTTACATTATTTGGTCTAACAGAATTCATAGTTTGAAATATTGAAGGTCTACAATATTGGGTTGCAACGATATTGAAATTAGAAAATCAGAGCTTGTGGCAAATTCCATTCCTCCCTTCCCATCCCTTTCTTCCCATCCCTCCCTTCCCACCCATCCTACCCTTCCCATCTCATCCCATCCCTCTCTTTTCATTCCATCCCTCCCTTCCAATTCCATCCCTGCCTTCAGAGAGAGGGAGAGTGGAGAGTAGAATCCGAGTACTAAGAGAAACCATGGAGAAGTTAGGAGTGGATACAGCTGTACCAATGACCTGTCTCCAGTGGGATACATTATTCGCCAGGATATCCAATACTATAGATAACTTGCCCATAGCTAGAGGGGATGCTTCTAATGAGCTTAATTTTGGATATGAAGTTATAACTCCGAATAGATTGAAATTGGGGAGGAATAATTTTAGATCATTCATTCACATTCATATATTTATTCAACTACAAAGCATGAGATATTACAAAAATAAGCAATCACAATTTACTATGCAGTTTGGACCCGCCTAACCAGGGTTGGTTGTTTTTGAGTGGTTGGCCCAAAGTTTATTAACGATACTGAATATAATTGGTTACACATATCAAGATATGTTTTGGGATAGGTAAGGAGTGATCGAATTGATTGGAAGGAAGAAGATTGTCAGGTAATCTGTGGCAGGATGAGATCAGAGGGATTTTTATGTAGAGATAAATTTTTAAACCAGGTGTTGGCCACGTTTTTGAAACCATAATGATTTAGTTCTTTTTTAAGTATATGCGACATTTCATCGATGCAAAGTTTGACAATTATAGACTCCATGTTGCTTCATGTTGCCTCTGAAACTGTATATTTTAGGATTCTAATACATTCAATTTGTTGAGATATTTACCTCAGTTGGTGTTTTTGAATTGATGATAGTCAATCATTAGAAGGAACTTGATTGCAGCATTATCCTAAACATTTGCACTGTAAGGCATGGATCAAACGACCAGGTGACAGTAAAAGTCTTTTTCATTCTGGTTTTTATCGTGTTTTTTGTACTCTATAAGCCAGCTTTTCCGTGTACATGTTACGTGTATTCGTTATGTTGTATTTATTGTATACGGTACACAGTACACACTACACAACACAAACTAACTTTGAAATAAAATGAAAAAGTGTATTTCAGCTGCATGACAACAAAACTGTTTTAAATTTCTAAAATGTAACCTAATAAACTTGCTTTTTGCATTCTTTTGTGTAAATACAAACTAAAGAAGCCACAAAGTTGTACCAGTAATGTAAAGTTTATAACTACACAATTTTATTTTTTAAAATCCGGTAACAAATTTAAAATATTCATAATGTTTATTGTACAATACAAGTTTGAGCATATCATTTACTCAATTAAGAGAAGTTAGTTTGAAACATTTGGAGTTTATTTCGCTCATGAGAAACTAATTAATTATATATTGATAATAATATAAACATAGATACAATATGCATTTATAATTCATGTTCTGATTTATTATATATATGTCCATATATTTATGATATACAATAAAAACCTAAATCATGTGTTGAATACTTCTTTTCTTGTATTTACAATATACATATCTGTTTCAGAATGGCATATGGCTTTGCTAAAGGGACCCACCTTCCATTTCTTTCCATATTCGTTATACAGCCGGCCTCCTCCACGGACACTTCCTCACCTTTACGACCTCTTTAACTTCAACCTCCATAACTAATATCCACTACCCTGCCCCTTTATATACTTTAAAGGGTCTCAAATTACATCCATTAAGATTTGAAATCTTAACATCTAGGGTAAATAAGAAAGGTATAACAGGGTTCGCAAGGTAAAAACCAAGTTCTGGGTAAACATCCATGATGCATGATTTTTATAGATGTGAAAATATATAATTGTGAGGGACAAATCAAGAAGGGGCTGACAAGATCGAGCAATTTCAAATCTATACTCTTTTACAACTTGTGTTTAAAAGTGGATTTATTTCCTTAGTTCTTGTGATAGTTTAAATCTGACGGTTAATTAAAAAGCAAACATCATCGCTACTAAAGGTTATATATACAATGAATGAAAGGTATATACATATAAACGTTGCTGTCATTACAACGGTGACTTTTCTTCATTTTAAATGGGCACTTTATTTACAACAAATTTTGATCGTTATTAAGCAAGAGAAAGAACAAGAAAATTCCAAATATTTGAATTGAATGGATATATTTACCACTGAGAAAATCCTAAGTCCGGAACTATGTTAGCATTACATTTTTGTTTCAGTATTTCTTCATCTTACAGTTTATATCTTTTAACACGCAAGCACGTTTCAAATATAACAATTAAATGTGATTTTATATAGCTAGACATTTTTGAGAGACGGGGTTATCAGGATAAAGATGCTCTACCGTTAGCAAATTTATTTACCTACCTTAAAGTCCTGCACGCCAAAATACGAACTAAACAATGAAAATAAATGTTGCACTTAATTTTAGCTAATGCATTGTGCGCGCGAATTAATAAATACATTTGACCCTATCCTTGCTAGGGTACTTGAAAACCAGGATACGCTCTAAATCCCATGTTTAATGGAGTGTAGGGAGAAAGCAGCATCATCGGAGTTCTACCGGAGACCCCAACCGCTACCATACCGGAGACCCCAACATTGTCAACGGTGACTCCAAAGTTTTCATCGGAGACCCCCAAATAAATAGTTAATATTTTTGAAAATGTAAATTGCTTTTTATGGCATAAAAACCTATATAAATTTTTTTTATCATAAACTTTTACATTTGGATATTATCTTATGCATTTACAAATCTACAACATTTTTAAATATTTCAAAATTATCGTGCGTGTTCATCTTCTTTTTAAACTTTACACCATCCGCCCTCCCTCAGTTTGGGGTCTCCCTTGAATATGCCGGGGTCTCCGGTAGCACTCCGGTGATGATGGTTTCTTCCTGCAAATTTGCAAAAATTAAATTGTTTTTTTTTTGCAAATCTAGTTAAATAGTAAAAATGTTTGCAAAAAAAGTCCAAAAAAGATAAAATATACTTTTTTGAAAAGCCTTTGACCATACCATTTCAAACATGCAACAAATGTTGCAAAATTTTTAGCAGGAATAGGGTTAAAGACTTGAAACAATATATTCGATATCTGAAAGTCAAGTTAATTAATTTTATTTTCAAAACCAGACAACAATTTGTATTTTGTCCTAAGGAGCTCGATAGCTTTAGGAAAGAAAAATGATTGATATTATTGAAGACCCTGACTTCACAACTGTACGAAGAAAATCAACAATTAGATCAAAAGAAAAACAAAACTGTCTAACAAGGCAGAATTCTTCTGAAATATTGAGAAAAAAGTCGCAAACTGGTGTTTCGGCATTTTTTAATGAACGAAAGCATTTTCAGGTAAATGAAGCTAAAACAGGAACAAATATTATAACAATTGTGAGTTCTTGGTCTATAATAAAATTGTAAAGAATGACAATGTTGTTTAAGAAAACTGGCAAAAATAGCCATTTAAAAAAATAAAAAACAATTCATCTTTTCAATTATCAAAAAAATTATATCACCAATACAGAGTCTTTTTCATGATTAATTGTGAAAAATTCAAAAAAAAGTATGTCCGTTTTTACACTTAATTAAACCCACTAATGCCCTTTATGATATGAAATATTTTAACATGGTGTCCAGACATTACATAGATTGATATTTCATAGACAAGACATTTAATAGATGGACATTTCATAGATGGACATATCATAGGTGGATACTTCATGTATATTATGACATTTTATAGATAACGCATTTCATTTTCATAGATAAGATTAATCATTGGCATTTTCAAAATTCATGAATATTGATATACTATACACCATTTTAAGATAAAAGAAAAAAGATTTTGTCGTGTGTGAACTGTGTTAATTATGAAATGATATGAAATGTAATATAAAAAACTCTTGTTAGATTCTCGCAGCTGAAGCAGCCAATCTTGGTCTCTTTACAGTTGGTTTCTGTGCATCTCTTTCGTCGTTTGCTATACCACAGCTTCTAGTGGGGGAAGGGGGAGTGCAGTTAGACGAGGAGGAATGTTCTTGGTTTGGTGGGTGAAATATTATATATAAATTATACTTAAGTCGTTGGATGTAAACCCATGATATCACAGTTAACTAGGGTTTCCAATCGGAATTCCGTTGCGCGCAATGGTTGCTTCCGCTTGCGCCATTTCATTGCACGCAATTGCGCTATAATTGCGAAAAAGAAAGCAATTAAATATTCGCGGAATTTCGTGGAATTGCGCGGAATTGCGTGCATCGGAATTGGTTTCATATCTAAAAATCAATAATTTTAAATATTAGACTTACAAATTTATGCAGCAGATACAAGAATGGAATTAAATTTCTCTGTTGATTTTAAAATAATCGAGGCCATGGAGTGTCACTAGTTTCAATAGTTTTCAAATTTTAAAGTTTCATTTCTTGTGGTTAAGCTACTAATTAACAATTTTCATCCAAAGGTATATGGCGTCTTGGCGTTGTCCCAAATAAAAAAATAAATAAAAAAGTAGCATGAAAAAAAATTAAGCTGATGACTCGAACAGGAAACAATGAATAAAAATATTCTGGAAACCTTTTATCTAACGCACGCTTGTGTACTGTACCGGTCCCTCTAGGCTTTTACCTATGTATACATGAATTCTAATCCATCAAACTTCTTTGTGATAGACTGTTTATGCTACATAAATGTTCTTATTTAGAAAGCTTTCGTGGATAAACCGTAAAAATTATGTTTATATCTTTAACTAAAGAAAATCCTTATAATATAGCAAACTATAGCATTATATAGCAAACTCTGAAAAATTTTGCTATTTATTTTTATAGATTCTTATCCATCGAACTTACATTTATGCAGAGCTTTACACAGAAGAGGAATAGTACACATATTTAAATCTAGACTATAATACATGATTTGAATTATCAAATTTCTATGCAATGTAATATGCACAGGGGGGCTGGAACTTAGATACCCCCCTCTACCTTCCTTCCAGTCCAGTATTTTGCTTGCATTTTAGTATTAAGGCTTTTTTTTAATAATTCTTGAAAATACGGTTTCTTTGATGAAATTAGTAATG